GGCCTTATGCATATGGCAGTACCCAAGTAGCACGTGAACTTATTCAGGACGTTCAAATTGTGTTCAATGAGGTTTCTGGGCGTTCGATGTACATGGATGAGCACCTTTTGTGGGCTCAGTTAAGGGTAAGCACAAAACATGCGGCATTTGAAGGACGTAGGTTGAACGTTATAGATATGTTCTTCTCAAGCATATGTATGGTATCCATCTAGCAATGGCTTGTAACAAAAGTCCGCGCAACCGACGCTAGATGACACCAAAATAGTCGCATATAGCGGGTCGATTCCTGATACAGCTGCAATAGTCCCCAATACCTTCCATACACTAGCCGATCTTTCCCCTCATAAACCAAAGGGGAAGATATTTGAATTCTTCACCAAATTGGTCTTAAGAGGTAACCTATTCGCAGGAGTCTACAGAAAACTCTGGCTATAAAGATAGAGGGAGGGTGGTTCAATTGCCAAGGTCGCCTCGTGCTGGAGGAGAGGGCAACGAAAAAGAGAAAATTGGTTAACATTGATCCTGTGAAAAGGGATTTCACTGCAGGGCGTGTCTGGCTACTCTGTATGAAGTAGTTGCGTTTAAGATGCAGGTTTACTTGGAATGGCAATTGCCACTCGTCTCAATCCAGACTGTATCGGAATTCCGAATCAACAATCGAATTTTGGGGCGGTAAATCTATTACCTGGTCATTTCATCTTCAGGAGCACTGTATTGCCAGAGAATGTCTTTATCTCTCTCCATTATCTCATTACTTATGCGCCAGATCTCACGGAAGGGAGGAGAGACGAAAAGGCATTTCTATTCGTTTCACGCACGATGCAAGTCGAAGTTCAGGTCGTTTAATTTCGAATCCTGCCCCTAACTTCTTAGCTTTTTATGGAATGTGGAGGACACGAATGAAAAAGAGTCGGGATGGCTTCAATTTCTATCTCTTCGAAGCCTATGGTCTCGTTTTTCGTCGCAGTACCTCCAGTGGAGGTACCTGGCTTCGAAAAGCGCAAGGAAAGCAGAAGAATTTTGGTATCTCCGTTCGGACAAGATCAGAATCCCATCGATTCGACTTATATTAATTTTTTTATGTCAATACATGATAGCCTGGATTAATTTTAAAGGTCTTTTTTGGGATTTCTGAGTTTATTATTCTCGAAGCATTGCATTGATCTGGTCCGACTATTAATGCTAGGGAACAGTGATATAAGAGAACGAGTAGAACGAGTGACCATATGCGTTCTGCGAGGCAAATGTGGGGGAAAAGTTAATAATGTCTCGGTAAGAGGACCAAACATGCAAACCCGATGAAGGTGATGGTCCCCAGGAGTAAAATCCCGTCCCTGGGTGCCGAATCAGCTACTAGATGTCTCCATAGAGCCCAAAGGTTTGTAGATATTGTAAGTACAGGGAAATAAAATCTAAGCATCTACCTCAGTGTAAAATTTACATTGAAGTCTTTTAATAAGCTTAAGCTGTTAGAGAGTAAAATAGTGCCCCCATTCTGGTTCGGCATTTGCAAGGATCTTGGATAATGGCAAACGATTGCCTCACGGTCGTTTGCAATTCCTTACCCGCGATGATACTCGGGAAGCGCGCTTCATGCTAATCTGGTTCGACCTAAAGTTTGAATTCCATTAGGATCCGTTTGTTTCGCGTGGGCCTGGCATCCCCATAGCCGACTATATGTTTCACCCTATCGTTTTCCTCTCGACAGATGAAGATGGGGAAGGCCTGTAGGACCATCGGGTCCGACCGCGCGCCGCGGGACCAGTCAGCGACCGCTTCTCTGGACTCTGATCCCCAGGACTCCTACTCTTCCGGTGGCGAAGGCCCTGAATCACTGGTGGATTGTTGAATGGTTAAGAAATACATGTTTGATCGTGTTGCCGCTGAGTTCCCCTTTGATTTTATTTCCACCCAGACTCACCAGGTCCCGAATCTCCGATATCAGTTAACAGTCGAGGAAGGCTTACTGAGGCTGACACTTAGTACCCTTGCGGGCGAAAATTGTACTACCAAACCTGAGTATCGGAGATCTCGAACGATCCCTCGAGACGCATGGGCCTACAATCCCGCTGGACAATGCTGTAGTTGAATGAAAAACGAGAGGTGAATAACAAGTTGGTTCAGGAGGTTTGCACCCCAACTATAACGAAGTCTGCGGAACGCAATCAGTTGCATGAGTGTTCGACGCATAGACTGCACAAGTTTCTGTTCTGCATCCGCCTTCTAATAAAGAATATATTGTGCTCTTTCCATAAAGGCTTGCCCAATCCTTAGTGGAACTTGAGATCAAACTTTGGGAGAGGGTAGGATGGAGAAGGAGTATCTAAAATCTTTCAATGCAAGGTCTGATGCGACTATCTCTTGCTACCGGGAGAGGCGAAAAATACGCACCGCTCTCTGAGATTCGTTAAAGTTCATGAGATAGCAGAGAGCACGTAAAAAAATTACTTGTAACGAATTCTACCTATCCTTTAAACGTCCTAAAATTAGGAGACGTATCGGCGCAAAAGACACGCCCACGCTTCGAGGATGGATTCCAGAGATTCGGAAGGCCGTAAGGCCGGTCCCAGGTCCTGCCATATATACCGAGGCTCCTGATGACAGTGTCCATTTCCAGCTAAACCTTTCCTGCAGAGTTTGCTTCATACTGAATCGGTCATCACCCAGGACTATCAGGGCCTCAAAATAAAGACCCCTGTTATTATGCAACGATTGCAAAGTTAATTAGTTGCGTCATTCAGTGACATAATTCTGGGTGCTGGGTTCTGTCATCCTGCATCCAGACCTATCGGTCGACTTTTAATCGGCCATGGTGTGTGTTCGGCACGATCACTTAAGGCCAGACCAGGAGCAAAACTATTCATTTCTTTCCAGTGGCATATTAAAGGCAAAGATCAGTCTCCTATTTTCTTGAGTGCTGATATACTGGCTTTTCTGTCTGTAAAAATGTTATGTCGTAAAGGAAAGCACCAAGGTCGTAAAAGATCCAAGTCTAACCGTGGCAATTTCGGGAGATATTGTTATTACAGTTTATCGGTGAAACAAACAGGAGTAAGAAAAACAATTTTATTTTCATCAATATTGGAAATCCCATTTTAAAAAAATTGCCCAAAATGTTTCCTCTCAATTCGGAATGTTTACCACTACTAACCTCTGCTGCCCGTGATATTAATTAAGTGGATGTTTACTTTAAAAAACCCGGCAATAGTGGAAATCCAAAAAACCTTTCAGGGATGCCAATAAAGTGTTCCTTCTTTCTCGGTTAGCCATTTCCAGGTATATTAAAAGAAATCACGCTATACTTACGTCAGATTTATTAATAGTATAACCCTTTCCAGTTGCAATATAATTATTTTCAGCATAATCAATTACATGGTCATGAAATAGCTAATCTTTTGCAAAAATGGAACGAAATTTCTACTCCAAAGTGTCATTCTGGAATGTATGTCCACATGGCCGCGCAGCATACTTTTCCTTACTTGTCTAAATCCTCAATTGACGAAGTCAGTTCTTAAAGGAAACCTACCCCTCTCTAAAATGAGCAGGTTTTTGGGATGTGAAATATTCATTGACAACGGTACAATTCCCAGGTATTTATTATGGAAAACACTTCATTCAGATCACTTTTTTAGTTATGTTTCTGCCTATTCGGAGTCAGCATGACAGGGGACGTGTATTCAGTGCTGTTATCGTAAAACATTATGTGCTTCCTGACCATTAACCCATTTTGATTTAATACAAGGTAGGCGTAAAGTCACGCATCATAGACATATGATTTATTTTAACCCTTAGTGTCAGGCATCACAGGAACGTTAAAAGATACTACTATTCTCTGTGACCAGTCTTCCTTACCACACAAGAGGATTACCTGCACTCGTTTTTCTTTTCAGCGATAAATTACCTGCAACAAAATTAGCAAGTTGGGCAAGCCCAGTCCAGTATTGCGCCTCGTTTCACTTAAGGAAACCCTCATGTTGTCATCTAATTGAACATAATTCAATCTATTTCCGGTCTTCGACAATAAAAAACCTCCTTTCTCATTACATTTGGCAAGAAATAGACAAACGGTTGCCCATGAAATGAAGGGAGGATGGAGGGCTGTGCGTGGTTTGATCCATCCGCCACGACGGTTGGTAGAGAACTGACAGCAATGGTGGCTGACACGATGCCGCGTCCAAAGCCTGGGTCGTACGCGCATGCACATTATTGGCCAGAACTTGAAGGGCTCATGGGTACTCATGCCATCCCCTCCGTGACCAAATGTAAAATTTAAAATTTTCAATAAAAATGCAATTTTTGTGCAAATTTGCCGCAAAACGAACTCAACTTGTATCATATTCATATCTACCCGCTTGCCAATTTTCGCTTTGATCAGGCCTGTATTGTTTTTATTATCGTCGGACAACCTAAGTGCGACACACTGACACACGAACGGACAGGACGGGAGCATGAGTGGTCTCTTTCCTTTCAGGAAAGGAGGTCCACTAAAACAATACAATTGCTATGATGCGTGACTTAATGCCCACACTGTATATTGTGATTGAACAGGAAAGGTTCCTACTATATATGATGTGAGCCATATGCGTCTCAACTTGATGCATTTTTCATTTTGATTTACAGTTTGAAGAGGTGGCATAGCAAATATGTCCTATTCTGTCTTTGTTCATTGCACTCATCACGCGACCTTTTATAATGTGGAGATCCCTTCTTCGATTTCCAAGATGATTTCCTCTTGGAGGCATTGGATAGAAAAATTTTTTTCACCCGATTTTGATGTTTTTCGCTGCATTTCCCGCCTCCACCTATTTCCATCGCGGATTTTTTTTTACTCTGTCTTAGAGCGTGACAGATAGGAATACCCTTTGAGATATCGTCGACTATTTCTGCGCCCGTTGCTAAGGTTTTTTTTTCCAATAGACAGTCTATCCTTGTTTAAGGTGAGGCATTGCGATTCGAACAACCCTTGGTGCCCCTGATTGAGCCCTATGCAACACTGCGATTCATTCCATCTCATTTGCCTTCAAGACTGACATGAAGGGAAGTTTTTCTTGAGTGACCCATCCTATTTCTCCATTCAGAGTCAGCTTCTCCGTCTCTAGGACAAAAACATCATACTGACCCCTTCGTTGTCTCCCACCAATGACAGAGAGTGTCCCTGCACCGTCTTCCATAAATCCATGATCATGTCTGCCTATGTTCAATGGGAGGAGTTTCTCCCATGGCCCTCCCCCATTTACCCTCCACCTCCAAACCTCCGTCTGTGATTCCCCCTCGCTAAATCCTCCTGAGATGTACAGGTGCTCGTTGTACACGGCGACGGCATGAGACGAGAGAGCAATGGGGATAGGGGGAAAGTGAGACCATTGCAATGTTCTTGTGTCCAAACACTCGGAGCTTGAGAGTGCTTTCTGCGTTTCGGAGTCCCAACCCCCCAAAACCAGGATAGTGTGGGGGTCCAACATCATCGAAGCTGCGCCGTTCCTCTTCTCTCGCAAGGGGGAGAGAGTCGTCCAAGTCTCTGCATTGAGGTCCAGTCGACATCCTTCAGGAGAATTTCCCTCTCCTCCGAAGAGGAAAAGAGAGTCTTGAATTACAACTCCTGTGGTGCTCTTGATGAAGAATTGAGGGGGGATGCGAAGTACTTCGTCCCATCTAAACGAGGCCTCACAGGGATCCTTTCCCTCTACATGGAGAATCCTCACATCCTTCTGCCTCCCATGGATGAGTCTACCAGAATGGGCGAGGAATACGTCCTCTGCGGAATGCAATCCCGGAACCCAGAGAGTTGAGTCTGACTTAAGAACTTCCAAAATTCCAGGAATGCCTTTTTTCCCTCTTCCCATGGCGAAAATCCTCTGCTTTCCTATAAGATAAAGAAAATCCGAGTAAAGAAGTTCAACTCAAATTCTAATAATCCAGGCGAGGGAACGGGCAGGAAGAAGGTGGAGGGAAGCTCTCCCTACCAAATGCCATTAGTGACATTCGATGCTACTCTACGAAAACTTTCCATGGAGGTAGCCTTCGTAGCCTCTAAAACTATTGTTTTGTAGGCTAACTAACAAAACTCCAGAACAATATTAGAAGTTCACATTCTAGTAAATACAATTAAAGCTAAAATGTGCTTTTCCGCCTTAATTCCGTAGCTTCAAAGGTAACAGAAAATGAGTGGATTTCAAGTTTCTCTTTCCGTCTGGGTAAGGACCAAACTAACTCAGCAGTGAAAAGATAAGGTAGAAGTGAAACCCTTACGAAAATGTCTTATAGGATTCCTATACATTCCTTTAGGAATATATAGGAATCCTATAGGAACCTAAAGGAATCCTATAGGATCCTATATGCCCCATAGAGTTCAGTTTGGGACCTATAGAGTTCCCTATAGAACCT